TCCGTTACGATATATAAACACTACCAACACACAGATCGAAAAGTTTAGTTGAAAGTTCCGTACGAAGTGTTCTAATGAGGCGATATACATTTGAGAAGTAGTTCAAAGTTGAAGTTGAAGTATTTGTAATGTATTATCAGTGTATCAGTGAAATGACGTTGAATTAAATTTTACAGTGTATTCAATTATTGTCAAACCCACTGGGGAAACGTTACAATAATACGAACCTAGATGATAAAATCATGATCATGGTTTCTGTCGAAAACATTTATACAAACTTGTAAAATTGACAAAAATTTCAAGATAGTGCGAATCTAGTAGTAAAGTATCCACCAGTACCGCAAGTCATTCGTGAATGGAGTTCATTACAAAACACAGAAAGGAGTAACATCCTTCAGTGGAGTAAATTCATCAACTTGATGTTGAAAACACTTGTATGATTCAGAAAAAGACACTTTTCTGAAGTTATTGTAATAAAACAAAGCAGTGTTAATTAAAGCATTCAGCTGGTGTCTACAAGTTTTCTCACGAACGAATTATTAATGTATAATCATATTCAACATCAAAGATGTTTTTATGAGTCATGATATACAGGGTGGCCCATCAAAAAAGTACCGCCAGGTTTTACAGTTTGAAAAACTTTTTGAGAAAATTCAAAAACCAGTTAAGTTTTTTCTGAAGGTGAGAACTTTCAAAGCGAAACGAACAGCAAAATTTTCAACCTCGTAGGTGGGGTGCTAACTTACAATTCTCAATTTGAATAGAAATCAAGTAAAGTGACATCTCATTGGAAAATAATTTGTATTTCTTATACATTGATACTTTTTGATGATCGATTCACTCTTTCAGAATATACAGTGCATTTCTTTAATGTTCCCCCTTTTATTTTTCCGACTCAAAAAATTTAAATTTGGGATAATGAAATTAATGCATGAATACTTTATTTTGAAGTGAAATTGACAGATGAAACTTTCAAGGTGGCGTCTGGGCGCCATTTGGGAAAAAATCGAATAGAAAGGGGGGTATTCTGACAAATCATTTTGAAGCTCCTGACAAATACTTCACAACCCTAGAAGATAATGTCAATATCTTCAACTACTACAAAATGGCGAAACTTTAAATGATTGCCTGAATAAATTGACATTTAACTACATAATATGAGGTAATGAGCTTGGGGTCAGTTGAGAAGATGCTCGAAATGGTTACCTTGAACTTCTTGACATATGACGGCCTATCCGATATTTCACGTAGAACATTTTCGAACACAGTAGGTAACGTCAATATATCTACAAATATTTATTATTCTCTGCCGTATATCCAATATTGAAGCAGGTTCAAATTGGTACAACTTTTGCTTAAAATAACCCCATAAAAAGTCCAAAGGTGTCAAATCTGGCGAGCGAGCTGTCTATTCTGTAGGACTTCGACGGCAAATCCAACGGCCGGTAAAAGTAGTATCCAAATAGTTTCTTACTTGTCTGGAGTAATGTGGTGGTGCTCCATCTTGTTGGAATAAAATATCCATGTCGAATTCATTAGGATTCGCTTTGACGATTTCAGTGATGAGAGGGTCAACAGTAGATTCCAGCATATTCAAATGCAGTTCCCCTGTTGAATTTTGATCAATAAATAGAGGTCCTACAATATGGTTTCCCAATATTCCTGCCTACGGTTTCGTGAAAGTTACGCGTCGCACCGTAAATAAAAATCGCTTCATTTTTTTCCAGGAAATTATTAAATTTTTCGCCATTTTGTAGTAGGTGAAGATAATGATTCAATATTCTAGGGTTGTGAAGTATTCGTCAGAAGCTTCAAAGTAATGTGTCACAAGACCCCTCTTTCCATTAATTTTTTTCCAAAATGGCGCCCAATCGCCATCTATCAATTTCACATCAAAATAAAGTATTTACGCATTAGTTCCACTATTTCAAATTTAGTTGACCCGTTCATAAAATAAAAGGGGAAGGGGCATTACAGAAATGCACTATATGAAGCTACGAAATAGCGACAATACTTTTAACAGAAAATGCTGGAATAGATTCAATTTCAAATCGAAACTGTCAAATGAATTCTCAAACTGTTTCCCGCCAACGTACATAAAATGATATAGATTATCCTGAAATGTTTCTTATACATTCTGGAACACTAGCGGTGTCTTTCAGAGTATTTTGTGTAGTGAAGTTTACTCTCGTCTTTATATAACCTCACAATCAAAAGGAATCGAATCGGGTAGCGCAGTGGGTAACTCAATTTGTTACGTTGCGAGTAATGCAAAGAAGCTCAATCTAGTTGTAAAACCAGTTCTTGCAAAATCGTTCTCTATGATAGCTAAAAGCTGGATTGATGACATTTTGCATTGAAACTGAATACACATATCGTTTATTGAATTATCAGGAAGGTACAGAAAGACGCACAATAGTTGATACATTCGAAAGTTGCAGAAACATTTCAATCACAAGTCGAGAGACCACCCATTCTGCGAATGAAATTGAATTGATTTCTGTATTTCTTATTGAAAGTTCTGTCAGTTTTCTTGATCTCCATTATTTCCGGAATGACTGGATTGATCTTCGGAAACTGATAATTAATCAACACCGAAACACCGAAACAATCAGAAGTTAATGAAATGAAAAGTATCTGCCTCTCGACAACACATTAATCGTTCTGGTGTCCACTGCTATATGATTTCCTCAAAGAAGGATTACGAGAAACCGTGCGTAAACATCTGTTGAACGAGTGTTTCAGTTTCGCGAAAAATAATGGACATATATTGAATGCAGGATAATAGCCATCAATTAAGACTCCAAGAAAAACGGGGAGTAAGAGGTTCTGCCATTGTTCTTCTAAATTGACGGAAGTGATTGATTTTCCTTTGAGTTTCCGACAAAGGAGCAAAAACGGTAATATACTTGGCTCCCTAGAAGAACAATTCAGGTGATTAATAGGGTGTATGGAGTAGCATCATATATTTCCATGTTCAAAAAATATTTTTAGAATATATTTTTTCTTCAACCAGCTGTCACACCCCTACGAATGACAAACCTCAGAAGTCGAAACTTGTGCGAGCTAAGAACTAAAGAGGTATTATCTTCCAACGTGTGAATCCTAACACATGAATGTAGTAATTTTGTATGCCAATAACACATATCCATTATTATACTTCATTGAGAAACAGGTTCATATTATGAGGGAGAAGTGATACATTATGGAATGAACATAGGTTGAAGTCACGAGCTGGCAGATTGTGGTCGAATGGAACCTGAAGTACCATACTCAACCACCATACTCAAAACAATAAGTATGTACGTACGATTTCATTCACCGCCCATGGCTCAGTCCGCTAGCTGTTCCTGCGTACTTATGACAGCTAATTAGCCATGCTTTGGTCATGAATTTTTTGTTGTTGCCAGTCGCTGAAATATCATCTACTCATATAGAAATGTAAGCTTTCACGGCTGGCGTCAATGGTAACTATCAAATGATGACAGTTGACACGTCAAGAAGAGTACCACGCCATTGAAGATGACTGCCGCAGTTGCAGTTGTAAAATTTGAGGATTATAACCAATGAAGACCATGGGAAAACCCGAAAACCAACCAAAATATCATCTACTTATATCTTATACTAGACTCGAATGTCACGCCTCGTGAAGATTCAGTGATTCCTTTAATACGAAGTGATCTGACCGAAACCACAACGTGCGATTGACTTCTGTTGATGACTCCGTGCATTTGTGTTGTTTTTGCAAACAAGGGTCTGTGGTCTGCTCATTTTCTGAGTGCTTTGAATATGAAATTTCCCTGTTTTTTCTGTCATTCCGGGTTTTCATTCGTTTGATTTTGACATTATCACGACGTTTCGGCAAGTTCACACTTGGCATATTCATGTGGTCTGCTTTCTATCTGAACTTGAGAATGGATTGGTCTCTTTATACGTTGCCGTAGGTTGGAGTTGCGGCGTGGGAAGTACTGATTGGTCCGCGGTGTGTTTGTACGGCGAAAAACGTTACAGTTGATTGGTGGGTGGGAGGTGTGATGTATTACGCTCGGTCAAAGTATACAAAGCCCATAGAAGCTCAGAACTGGCATTTTCGTGCACCGTCAAATATTTATTACTCACCCTGACCACCAGAGGACGATGCTTGCAGGATGTCAGTATTTATTGCGATTACAAACAGTCCTGAGTAGCAGTAGCTGAAAAACCAGTCGGCTTTTTAATTTTATTCAATTTTGGCATACATCCCGACTTCGAAATGATCCGGCCTACTAGTTGTCAGCGACTACTAATTCTGTTGATACATTAAATACTGACATCGTACTGACATAGCCCTCTGGTGGTCAGTGTACATACTAAACATTTTACGGTACACGAAAATGCCATTTCTAAGCTTCGAAGGGTTTTGTTTTCTTTGGCTCGACTGAGGAAACAAGTATCATTTTCTGGGCGGTGTCTTTGCTGTAGGTGATGCACTGGCCTTGGTTTTGGATATGTTAGTTTATCACGCAGCGGAGAGTGTGTGTCACACATCTGCTGATCTTCTCAATTTCCATGAAATGGGAGGTTGAGAATATTCTGTGAGAATATTCTCACAGAATATTCTCAACCTCATTCCAAACCAAATCATGTGATAATGATGTATTGCATTGCGTTCTGTTTTTCATAGTTATGTGAATTAACATTGTACTCGTAGGCCACTGCTCAACGCGTTCTGGCATTTTGGGAAATTTGGTCTGCTGTCTTCACCCCGATATTTAGGGTGTTCCAAATTATTGAGTCTCAATTATTTCCCTGCTTCATTGTCATTCTGCATAAAAACATAAAGGGAAAATGTGTCTGTATTTTCCCCCTTATTTGAATATGAGCAGACACATTATCATCTGGTACATAGCGGTAATGATAAAGGAGGGAGGGTTGGCTTTAGAATGTATTCTATTTGCCACAGAATTTTGATATGGCATGCATTGCACCATATTTTGATTTACATTTCTTCGCATATTTAACAAATAAGGGAACGCTTCACGATTATGCGTGTCATCCTTGGGCATAGCCCATGCTAATCTTCTCTGTATCGTTCCAATTTTAGTATAGTACCGCCGAAGCAAGTACTAAGGCACTTGATTCTTTATAAAATAATGAAATCCAATGTACTTCAGCGTTCCATTCACAGATGCGCTGAGCACACTCAAACGTTTACATTTGGTAACGATTATTCACAGATTACAACAACTACGTAGAGATATGGAATAATACACCTGTTCACAACTGTTCTATCGATAATGAAATTTGGCGATACATTTTGATTGTTCAACAAGGATAATAATAATGATAATAAGGTCACCCATTTGTTTTATATGGATGACATTAAACTTTATGCCTCTGGAGAGAAGGATCTCCATCAGTCCATGAGCGTGGAGGAAGAGTACACGCATGCTATCGGTTTGAAATTCGGGATAGACAAATGTGCAAAGGTCCATCTCAAAAGAGGACGATGCGGGGACTACGGAGAGGATGTGCAGCTCGTAGATGGATGCCGGATGGATGCCATCTGGATACCGGAGAGACGTATACTTACCTCGGGGTGGAACAACGTCACTCACAAGAGGTAACAGCAGTGAAAAACTCCCTCCGCGGCAAGTATCAGCACCAACTTCGACAGATCTGGTCATCGGAACTGTCGGGAAAGAACAAAGTTGCTGCTACAAATATGCTTGCCGTTCAGAGCTTACTCTACTCGTTTGGAGTAGTGAAGTGGACTCGGGAGGAGCTGTATCAACTCGACGTAAAGACCCATAAATTTTGAATCTCTACAGGAGTTTGCATTCCAAATCGTCCGTTCCACGGTTGTACTTCCAACAACAGGGAGGTCGTGGACTTTTGAGTTTGGAGTGTCTGCATGACAGAATGGAACTGAATACAGCCGGTAAAGTCATCAGGAGCTTGGATCCTCTTCTCTGCATGATCCGTGACCATTAGAGAGCAGGAATTGAAACATTTCTCTTTAAGGCAGCTGCCCGAGCAGCTGATAAACTCGTTATAGTTTTCGACATTGAGCGAGGTGACCACAACTCTGTCACCGATTTGAAACCCGTTCAGCAAAAAGCTCAGATAAAAGTCGCAGAGATCACCCTACTTCTGCGGAAACACAAGGATAACCCAATGCAAGGAATCTTCTTCAATAACATTCGAGACCTTGGCTTATCAAAGCGCCTGATGTTCGCTTTTCTCAGGTCGAGCTGAAGTCGGAAATTGAGGGGTTCATCATGGCTTGCCAGGATGGTGTCTTCAACACCTTAGTCTACCGCAGTCGCGTGATTGGTATAGAGGTTCCTAACACAAGGTGCAGGGCCTGCCGCGAGGCGCCCGAGACCCTAATGCACTTGATATCCATGTCCAGCATGTCCGCATGTCCATCATATGCGGTCTCAGCCTATATTCATCGACATAACGCGGCCCTAAAAGTGCTATATAACCATCTAGGGCACTCTCAGGGTATTGACGAGACACCGGTGTTGCCCTACGCTCTGGGGGATATTGAATCCGTTGTGGGGAACGAGAAGTGCCGAATTTATTGGAACTATTCATTCCCCACCCTCAGGCTCATACAAACTAATAAGCCTGATGTAGTCCTCGACCACCAGAACAAAACGATATTTGTCGTGGAGATTTCAGTTCCTGGCGAGACAAATATCGTCAGAAAAGAGGAGGAAAAACAAATGAATTATCGAGATTTTCTCTTCAAACTCCGCAGACTCTATCCAAATCAGTCTGTCAAGATGGTTGTTCTGATTGCTTGAGTTTTTGGTAGAATGATGCCCTCTCTACTCTCGAATCTTAAAATCATACCGGCTTGCCGCACTAAGGCAGAAATCTCAGCCGTACAGATGCAGAAGGCTGTCATTCTTGACTCCCTGCGCTTGCTCAGGGCACATGATTTTCAGACCCAATGATCACATACCCCACGGTGTGGGAAGTGATAATGATATTGGTTGATAATGCTGGCGCGCCCTCCCGAATGTATCGGGGCTTCGGGGATAGGGCCTGACCAGTGCACACTACGGTGAAAAAAAAATGGCTTTTATAGATGGTTCCATACAATGACAACCAATCAAGTGACAGGATTCAATATCTGCTAATAATCTCAGAGATTGCTCTTCTATCAAATCGTAAGAACAAAAGAGAAAGATTGAAAAACAGTATGTTATCAAGAACAGTGCAAACAGTACATACAGCGAAATGGATCTAGATTTATCAATTGGAAAGATCTCTTATGGTGGAATATGCTGCATTTTGAGTTGCCATTCATAGTTTTCTGTCCAAAATATGATCACCTCAAAATTAATATAACGTTTACAACTCAGTCGAAGGCAGGTGATAGCGAAACTACTAAAATAGAGCTAAAATCACTGGAATTATAGGGGTAATGATTCGGTAAATGTGAAGAGCCAGACAGCTGAATCATAGGAGTCACTGATGGATCGCACTTCTCATAAGTTGAAGCATCAGAATGATTCTGACTTTTTCCAAAGAGTCAAAAATCTAAAAGTTATAACTGGAACCTTTGGCGTGAAAGAAATCCAATCAAACGCCTACAATAGTATCCCCGATGAGCTTCTCACCAACCAAGTCATACATGATATATGACTATAAGTTACAGAGTAAGTCTCTTCTATTATTTGAAGATACGTATAGTTAAGAATTGGTCTAGTTCATATTTTGATGACGCCCAATTGATCGGTGGAATATGCGTCGAGAAAATTGTTCTAGTATTTGGGAGCGGTGCTAGCCTAGGATAAAAAATCTGGAAGAATGATGAAGACCGCATACTTTCCAAATAATGACTGAAATGATATTTATGAGCTTCACTCGAGAAACTGAGTGAAAGTACTTGCGGAACCCCCAAAATCATTGTATCCTTGTATCCTTCGTGATTTGGAGGAAATTGCTGACCCAGACCACAAATGAGCTGAATACATATTGGTGGAAGGAATCATTTATGACACTGAAAATCAGTTTGAATGGAAATTTTATGAATGGCAAATCCCATGAATATCACTTTTCAGACACTAAAACTATAAAAAAACTAGTACTAGTTGTTTCATAATTTATAATTTTCCCGCATTTAAATCAAATATGGTCCTCTCAAACTCTACTGTCGTTGATTCATATCACTTTACTAAACTTTGAAATCAGTCATCCAAAACTCGGATACCGACTACCGATTGGCAACCCACAAATTTTCCCGCTCGGATAAACAGTTAAACACGATGTTAGGATTTCGGTGGCCCTTGTCAAAACAGACAAACCTCAGTGGTCACCCTCTCCGTTATCTTTCGGGAACTTCAGGTGCTTCAATTCTCACGTATCCCCGAACAGTTGACGCCGCAGAGTTTAATGGCAATAACACAGAAAGAAGTAAATAGTCAAGGAGGATAGTTGATAATTTGATTCAGGAGAGGGTGAAATTCAATTTCACATCTGATATCACATGCTCCTGAAAACGTGATCATTATCGTCTACTTTGTGAACTTGGTGAATGAAACTGAAGTCATTGGAAGACTAAAAAGGAATAGGAATACGATGTCATATACAAACGGGAAGAACCCAAAGACAGTTTTCATATCAATTGCGAATAGTATTATAAGGAACAAAAACAAATATCACAAGCAATTGTAAAGGTACGGCACAAATTTTGCTTCCGAATCACGTATGGACACAGAGGTCGTCAAATTTCATTCGATGTAAAGAGTATGTTCTCCAACATACCGTACAACGAGTGTAAGCTCCTCATTTTATACATATTAAATCAAGCCAAAGTAGACCATATGACTTCCTTTGAAGTTTCAACAGATTTCGATGTGTGCCTAAATCAGAGGTACCTACAGTTCAACAACAAATTTTATAAACAGGATTCAGGTTTACCAATGAGCTCACCCCTTAGTCCTTTTTAGCAGACATATTTATGAACACTATAGTAAATTCCGACCTGGGTAAAAAACATATTCATTTTTGGTACAGATATGTAGACGATATTCTCGTCTGTTTCAGAGGTATTACACGACAGCTGAACCATTCATGAATAATCTCAATAGCAATATTCAATTCACATTCAAAACCGAGATAGAGAAATAGATAAATGTCTTAGACCTGACAATTACACACAATCAGAATAAATTTCAGTTCAATGTTTTCATAAAACCTAGCTATACAAATCCCAAGCGATTCTTTCCATCCAGACAGTCATAAATTAGTAGCCTACAATTCAAGGTTGCACAGAGCATTCGCACTGCCTTTGTCTGCTAGCAATCTAGCTAGGGAAATTGATATAATTACACAGATAGGTCATAGTAATGGTTTCAACACAGATACTATCCAGAAGTTAGTCAGAAAACAAAGCAGTAATTCAACCATCAATCAAGAAATGGGTAACTCTAACATATTTTGACAAAAGAACAGAGGTAATTACGGGTTTCTTCAGAAAAAAACAATGTGGAAGTGGCATACAGACTACATGCCAGGTTATCTGATTTCTTTTTCAATGCCAAAAATAACGTGGACACGTTGGAGAAATCTGGAGTTCATATGCTCAATTGTCTGGAATGTAATAGTGTTTATGTTGGACAATGTGGTCGAAATTTACAAAAACGGTATGCTGAACATGAAAGGTCCTTCAGACTAGGAAAAAATGATTCGACGTTTTCAAACAATTCCTTGGCATGCAACTACAAGTTTCCGAATCTAAACGATACGGAAATTTTGAACTATGGAAGGAAGGATTGCAAACTCAATTATTCAGAATCATTGGAAATTCACAAGCATACACATTGCAGGTGCAACCTATTAAATGATCAAATCAATTTAGTTTATTCACCGGTTTTCAAATTAGCACATCCGCATTGTAAATTGTAAATTCAGGTACTCAATTAAGCCAAGTACCTCTATTAGTACCTATAGGAGTGGTATATAAGGGCTAATCTGATGAACCATTGTTAGTTCAATGTATAAGTTTGATGTCATAATTACTTCCTCTTTTAGCAACACTGATTAGGTTTAATTATACGGGGTATTCCCTGGGTCGGCACCACTGCCAACTCCATTATTATTGATA